CTATGGTAATAATGGGACTAGGATGAACGATAATAGTTCAACTAGTCAATGGTTAATATCCTACCCTGTTGTGGGTTGGCAATTAGTAAATATTATACTGTGATCACTAGTGCAATATATATTAAATAATTCTCTATTTTGGAGAAATAATATACACAATTATTGATAATAGCCTCTTAATTAGCCTCTATGAAACTTCTAATATTATCTAGAAGTATTAAATATTATTAGTGACCTCGCGAAATAAAGTCCACAAAATTCGTAGATAATCTCTCGCGAAATGTAACACCACGAAATCCGTGAACAATCTCGCGAGGACACAGTCACTAATTTGGCTGGCTTCTATATTAGCGCTGTCATTTCACAGAATAACACGCCACCAAATCTGTGGGTGTGCATGAAACCGCTGACTAAGGCTGAACTGAACTGAGCGGGGCTCGTGAACTCGCACGAGTCAACGCCGCCGTCTTGACTGGGCTTTGTTTAAATCACACTGCACTAGTTTATTTAATGAATCCACTGGTTAACTGGTTCATCCGGTACTAAGATGACCAAATGTGGGTTCAAAGGATCAAATAATCCGTCATCCGGTTCGAAGGACCAAATAATGTGGGAACCGACCTGTGAGATTTATATTTATTTAATTAATTTATATGAATTTATATTTACGTTAATTTATATACTTCGATAGCAATTTGTATAATGATAAGTGGACTGTATTTCTGCAATAATCTCATAATCTCACAAATCGATCCTCTACACATTAGGGGGGTTTATTAAATTAATATATATGCAGCCAATCAAACTACAGTATTAGACTACATACATTGAAGAGGTTCCTTATCTTATAGTACAGCAGGTTAGTCCACCAGGTATAACTAGGGTGTAGACACCAAATTATCCTCTTTGAGGTAGCTTCCATCACCCAGTAACTGGTGCACAAAATCTTGCTTCCTCGTCTTGACCTGTCAAAAGGGCGCTAGCTGTGAAGCCAGAAACCTATATATGACAAGCTATATCAGAGAAAATACTGTACATGGAACATTGAAGACCTGGCTTAATTACCTTTAGTTTGAGGCTTCCACGTGCTCTAACCGGGTCACCCTATATAATGACATTAATGGCCATAAATGAAAGATACATGGGTTTCGGAAAGAACACTTAACTTGATTTGTAGACAGCGTGTTGAAAATGGTACACCTTTGGTTTCCATAACACTACGTCCAAGTAAAATTAACAGGAGCCGAATTTGCTCCCGTGTGAGCCTCTGGTCTAGTATCAACAATGGCTGCGTCTAACACTCCATACTATTGACGCCTGGCCGACATTGTCCAGATATGATAGGAGCCGAATTTGCTCCACACGTCTCGGAGGTGACACAACAATGGCTGCCCTCCTTCCTCACTCTGACGCCTGGCTTACATTGTCCAGATGTTCAGAAAGTGATAGAAGGGTCACATTTACTCTACTTTAATATTGATAATTAAGTTAATTTATATAAGATGTTTTTATGATGGTAAAGTCCAAAGACTAATGTATTTAAGAATAATTCCCAGCATAATAGCTGGTGAATTATAATAGTATGTGGTGATGATATCCCGTTTTCTTTAGACGGTAATTCCACTACAAGTTACGTTTTCTATGGGTAACTTGTTTATACAATACAGCTATTATCTGTATGATTATTAAATGGTGTCGGATTTTCCGACACAGAGCAGACGGACCGGTGAAGCCAGAGAGGCTTATAACAAGTTAGCCATTTAGGAGTGCACTAGATACGACACAATCAAGAAGGCGGTGCTCCACTCATATAGATTGACTTCGGAGGTCTACCGGAAACGCTTTCATGAGTGCACAAGAGCATCGGGAAGGTCGTACGCTGAGACTGCTCATGACATGGAGCGCTAGTTTCTCAGATGGCTGAAGGCCGAAGAGGTGGAAACGATGGAGGACCTGAAGCAATTGATCGTGATGGAAACGTTCATGTCGATGCTCCATCTGGAGCTCAAGGTCAGAGTGAAGGAGGCAGGAATGAATGACCTTAAAACTGCAGCAGACAGAGACGACATGCTGGAGAAGGCACTACATCTCCGTAGGGAGGGACCTCCCAGACACTTGCCTTGCCCAACGTTCAGTGGGAACTTCAAGAGTTCAGGAGGAGCAAGGACGGACGGCGACTCTCCCAAGAGTGGCTTACCCAGTGAAGTGAACCGGTTCAAGAGCTCGAGGAATGCATGGAGGAGGTCCCAAGGTGCGAGTGGTGGACCTAACTCGGGAGCAGAAGTGCTGCCCGGGAACCGACGACAGGGAGTCTAAGAAGGACCCAGGGAACGTCTGCCGTTGGTGCTGCCAGGGTGACTGGTAGAGGGTCGCCCGGAGGAGGCGTCCAATGCTTTAAGCACTGTGCTGCTCGCCTTCCAAATACGTCATCCCCCCTCCTGTGTACAGGAAATAATTTCTCTGGATTTTTCTTTAAAATGTTAAAAATCCTTCCCTGATTATGGATATGTGAACAAAAACTCAAAATTGTACTTACTTTGGCCGCAATTGGGTCCGTAACTTTGTGCGTGCCATCATCAATCCCTGGTCACCATGGCGTACGTTCCCGGGGCCAGTAGCGCGCCCGGTTACGATGCGGAGTTGCCACGAAAATATTTTTGTTCATTTTTTGCGCACAGTTCCAAATACAATTGTTTTGTTGACCAGACCACACACTAGAAGGTGGAGGGACGACGACGTTTCGGTCCGTCCTGGACCATTCTCAAGTCTATAGACTTGAGAATGGTCCACACACACACACATGAAAGCCTTATAAATTGAAGGCATGAGAGTTCAATCTAACTCTCATGCCTTCAATTTATAAGGATTTCATGTGTGTGTGTGTGGACCATTCTCAAGTCTATAGACTTGAGAATGGTCCAGGACGGACCGAAACGTCGTCGTCCCTCCACCTTCTAGTGTGTGGTCTGGTCAATATACTTTAGCCACGTTATTGTGACTCATCGCCTGCATAAAAAAAGAACAATTCCCCTCCCCCCCCAAAAAAAAAAACATTGTTTGACATTGGTTGAAATAACATAAATTAGCATTGGACAATGTATTTATATGATATATAACAAAATAGAGCATAATAACATACTTACTCATTATTATTTGTGTTATTAAGTATTACTCAGCAATGCTCTAACGGCACCAGCTGCATATCCACTTTGTGGACCCTCCTTACTACTATTTATCTTTGTGCACCGGACAAACACTGTTTGTGCTTACAGCTCTTTATTACTGCATTATCCCTCAGTTCCAGTTAATAGGAGTTGTTCTCCGTATCAACAAAAACATTTTTTTAAATCGTATAAAATCCAATTCTTAAACAGTCTCCGTGGTGTAGTGGTAAGACACTCGCCTGGCGTTCCGCGAGCGCTATGTCATGGGTTCGTATCCTGGCCGGGGAGGATTTACTGGGCGCAATTCCTTAACTGTAGCCTCTGTTTAACGCAACAGTAAAATGTGCACTTGGATGAAAAAACGATTCTTCGCGGCGGGGATCGTATTCCAGGGACCTACCCGAAACGCTACGCGTACTAGTGGCTGTACAAGAATGTAACAACTCTTGTATATATCTAAAAAAAAAAAAAAAAAAAAAAAAAAAAATTGGGCTGAAACTTAAAAGACCTGGATGCCAAATAATCGGAGATTTGCTTAACATTTTATACTATATTTCATAATTTTCGAATATTTTCTCGTTATTTGGCCCCTTAATTTAGAAACTGTACTTGTGGTAGGTCTCGAGCCCATTGTTGATGTGACAAAATGAATTGTGGGGTTCAGTCCCTGAGCCAATTAAAACCCCAAACCCAGCCCATTATGTGCCTCTGTGACCTTTTCCACTACTACCCACAAGATGGGTATGGGGTCACTACCGCCCACAGCATGGGTATGGGGTCACTACCGCCCACAGCATGGGTATGGGGTCACTACCGCCCACAGCATGGGCATGGGGTCACTACCGCCCACAGCATGGGCATGGGGTCACTACCGCCCACAGCATGGGTATGGGGTCACTACCGCCCACAGCATGGGCATGGGGTCACTACCGCCCACAAGATGGGCATGGGGTCACTACCGCCCACAAGATGGGTATGGGGTCACTACCGCCCACAGCATGGGTATGGGGTCACTACCGCCCACAGCATGGGCATGGGGTCACTACCGCCCACAAGATGGGTATGGGGTCACTACCGCCCACAGCATGGGCATGGGGTCACTACTACCCACAAGATGGGCATGGGGTCACTACCGCCCACAGCATGGGCATGGGGTCACTACCGCCCACAGCATGGGTATGGGGTCACTACCGCCCACAGCATGGGCATGGGGTCACTACCGCCCACAGCATGGGCATGGGGTCACTACCGCCCACAGCATGGGTATGGGGTCACTACCGCCCACAGCATGGGCATGGGGTCACTACCGCCCACAGCATGGGCATGGGGTCACTACCGCCCACAGCATGGGCATGGGGTCACTACCGCCCACAGCATGGGCATGGGGTCACTACCGCCCACAGCATGGGCATGGGGTCACTACCGCCCACAGCATGGGCATGGGGTCACTACCGCCCACAGCATGGGCATGGGGTCACTACCGCCCACAGCATGGGCATGGGGTCACTACCGCCCACAGCATGGGCATGGGGTCCATAATAAATGAACTAAACTAACTAAAAACTTTGGTGAGGATAAATTTGGATAGGATAGGTTGACATTGAGTATGGGGATGGGGTGAAATATTTCCATTCATTAGATACATGAGATTAGATACATTAGATTCATTAGATTCATTAGATATTCTAAACTTGAAATATGGTTATTTTCGTTTACTTTATTAAATTGATTTAAATATAATTCAATATACTTAAATCTAATTTATAGGTAGAATGATCTGTCTCAACACGCGATACTATTTTATATGTACTAATAATGGTTTGTTTTCTTTTGCAGATTGATGTATGAAAAGTATACCAGCAGTGTCATGTATGAAATACATCAACAATCTCTTGTTGCAGAGTTATTACCCTTTATTTTGAATATATATACTTGACACATACATGATGTATGTGTAAGATGTATACATGACACATACATGATGTGTGGGGTGTATACATGACTCATAGATGATATATGGGATGTAAACGTGATATACATGATGTGTGGGATGTAGACATGATTCATACATGATGTGTAAGATCTATACATGACTCATACATTGTGTGTGTGTGTAGGAAGTATACACGGCTCATACATTATGCATGGTATTTATTCATGACTCATACATGATGTGTGGGATGCATACGTGGCTTATGCATGATGTTTCCGACGTGTACACGAAAAAAAAATAATGTGGCATGTATACATAACCATTAAATATATGTTGCATGTATGAATGACTCATACATGATGTGTGGGATTTATAAATGACCCATACATGATGTGTTGCATGTGTACATGAACTATACAATATATGTGGCTTATACATGGTTTATACCTGATGTTTGGGATGAATACATGACTCATACATGATGTGTGGCGTGTATACAAGACTCATACATGCCGGGCAAGAGATCCGGTCGTTGATCAGGATTATTGTGAAGGTCATTACAGACTCATCAGCCTGCAGCCTGAGTAGGCTGAATACCAGGGGCTGGATGACGGAAGGATAGTTCAAACCTAGCTACCTGAATAAGCTGAGTATCTAATCTTGAGATGATTTCGGGGCTTTAGTGTCCCCGCGGCCCGGTCCTCGACCAGGCCTCCACCCCCCAGGAAGCAGCCCGTGACAGCTGACTAACTCCCAGGTACCTATTTACTGCTAGGTAACAGGGGCATTCAGGGTGAAAGAAACTTTGCCCATTTGTTTCTGCCTCGTGCGGGAATCGAACCCGCGCCACAGAATTACGAGTCCTGCGCGCTATCCACCAGGCTACGAGGCCCCTGACCTAAGACTGCATCACGAAGCTAATTACTCAACTGACAGTGTGAGAAAGCTGGGTAACCACAACTACAGAAGAACCATATTAGAGATTCACCAGCCTGAGTAAGCTCAGTCCCCAGGACACTATAAACGCAGTCTCCAGGACTCTATGAACACAGTCTCCAGGACTCTATAAACGCAGTCTCCAGGACTCTATAAACGCAGTCTCCAGGACTCTATAAACGCAGTCTCCAGGACTCTATAAACGCAGTCTCCAGGATTCTATAAACGCAGTCTCCAGGACTCTATAAACGCAGTCTCCAGGACTCTATAAACGCAGTCTCCAGGACTCTATAAACACAGTCTCCAGGACTCTATGAATACAGTCCCCAGCACTCTATGAACACAGTCCCCAGCACTCTATGAACACAGTCCCCAGGACTCTATGAACACAGTCCCCAGCACTCTATGAACACAGTCCCCAGGACTCTATGAACACAGTCCCCAGCACTCTATGAACACAGTCCCCAGGACTCTATGAACACAGTCCCCAGGACTCTATGAACACAGTCCCCAGCACTCTATGAACACAGTCCCCAGGACTCTATGAACACAGTCCCCAGCACTCTATGAACACAGTCCCCAGCACCCTATGAACACAGTCCCCAGGACTCTATTAACACAGTCCCCAGCACTCTATGAACACAGTCCCCAGGACTCTATTAACACAGTCCCCAGGACTCTATGAACACAGTCCCCAGCACCCTATTAACACAGTCCCCAGGACTCTATGAACACAGTCCCCAGCACCCTATTAACACAGTCCCCAGCACTCTATTAACACAGTCCCCAGGACTCTATGAACACAGTCCCCAGCACCCTATTAACACAGTCCCCAGCACTCTATGAACACAGTCCCCAGGACTCTATTAACACAGTCCCCAGCACTCTATTAACACAGTCCCCAGCACTCTATGAACACAGTCCCCAGGACTCTATGAACACAGTCCCCAGGACTCTATGAACACAGTCCCCAGCACCCTATGAACACAGTCCCCAGGACTCTATTAACACAGTCCCCAGGACTCTATGAACACAGTCCCCAGGACTCTATTAACACAGTCCCCAGGACTCTATGAACACAGTCCCCAGCACCCTATTAACACAGTCCCCAGGACTCTATGAACACAGTCCCCAGCACCCTATTAACACAGTCCCCAGCACCCTATTAACACAGTCCCCAGGACTCTATGAACACAGTTCCCAGCACCCTATTAACACAGTCCCCAGGACTCTATGAACACAGTTCCCAGCACCCTATTAACACAGTCCCCAGGACTCTATGAACACAGTCCCCAGCACCCTATTAACACAGTCCCCAGGACTCTATGAACACAGTCCCCAGCACCCTATTAACACAGTCCCCAGCACTCTATTAACACAGTCCCCAGGACTCTATGAACACAGTCCCCAGCACCCTATTAACACAGTCCCCAGCACTCTATGAACACAGTCCCCAGGACTCTATTAACACAGTCCCCAGCACTCTATTAACACAGTCCCCAGCACTCTATGAACACAGTCCCCAGGACTCTATGAACACAGTCCCCAGGACTCTATGAACACAGTCCCCAGCACCCTATGAACACAGTCCCCAGAACTCTATTAACACAGTCCCCAGGACTCTATGAACACAGTCCCCAGGACTCTATTAACACAGTCCCCAGGACTCTATGAACACAGTCCCCAGCACCCTATTAACACAGTCCCCAGGACTCTATGAACACAGTCCCCAGCACCCTATTAACACAGTCCCCAGCACCCTATTAACACAGTCCCCAGGACTCTATGAACACAGTTCCCAGCACCCTATTAACACAGTCCCCAGGACTCTATGAACACAGTTCCCAGCACCCTATTAACACAGTCCCCAGGACTCTATGAACACAGTCCCCAGCACCCTATTAACACAGTCCCCAGCACTCTATGAACACAGTCCCCAGCACCCTATGAACACAGTCCCCAGCACTCTATGAACACAGTTCCCAGCACCCTATTAACACAGTCCCCAGGACTCTATTAACGAAGCTTATTACAGACACAAATGCTGATAAAGCTGAGGATTGCATTGATTAAGATACAAGCCACATGTGGTTTACCAGGTACCCACAGGTTTGGCAGTGGTACTAGTTGTGGGTTTACCAGGTACCCACGGGTGTGGCAGTGGTACTAGTTATGGGTTTACTAGGTACCCACGAGTTTGGCAGTGGTGCTAGTTGGGGGTTTACCAGGTACCCACGGGTTTGGTAGTGGTACTAGTTGTGGGTTTACCACGTTCCAACGGGTGAAATAGGGGTACTAGTTGTGCGTTTACTAGGTACGCACGGGAGAAGTAGTGTTACTAGTCGTTGGTTTACCAGATACTCACTGGTGTTGAAGTGGTTTTGGGTTTACCAGGTAACCACGGCTCTGATAGGTCTACTAGTTGTTTATTTACCAGGTACTCATTGGTGTGGCTGTGGCACTAGTTTTGGGTTTACCAGCTAATGCTGGGTGTGGAAGTGGTCCTACTTGTTAGTTTACCAGGTACTTATGGGTGTGTGAATGGTACTAGTTGTGGGTTTACCAGGTAACGCTGGGTGTGGAATTGGTCCTACTTGTTAGTTTACCAGGTACCCATGGGTGTGGCAGTGGTACTAGTTGGGGTTTTTCCAGGTACCCACCTGGTGTGACAGTGGTACTAGATGTGGGTTTATCATGTACTCACTGGTGAGATAGTGTTACTAGCTGTTGGTTTACCAGGTTCCTATGAGATTGGCACTGGTACTAGTTGTAGAATAAAGGGGGGGGGTGAATATGGTACGAATGGAGAGGGATGTGTTGCTGGACTATGGTGGAGGGGTATTAGCACAAGTATTATTCGGTTGTTGATTGGATCTTGCTTGGGTTTGAAGAGATACATAGTCTGATTTCTTGGACCTAATTGTTTGGGGTCAGAGATATATATATCCAGTGCACCAGGGTCCTGAGGTCCTGCTCTAATCTAGGTCTGTGTGGTACTGGCGGCCTACATGGAAGCTTCTACTGCGCTGTTCTGAGGAATGACGTCATGGCTCACTGACCACAGGATTGGCTATACACCAACTGTTCTGGTATTTAAGGGGGCGTTACTTCCAAATTTGCCCAAAATATGCAATAAATGAAAAATGAAAATCCATTGATACCCGTTCCCAAGGGGCTATAGTTGCTGGGTACACAAGAATTGGGTTAGGTCCTGTTACATGTCTCTTGTGTTGTAAGCAGGTTAAACATCTGTCAACATAATAAGCAATCTCTTTATCTATTTTGGGCCAAAAATACTTCAATCGACCTTGCTGGAGTGTATGATCCTTTCTTAGATGTGCACTTGCAGGAACATCATGGATAATCTTTAGCACAGTTGGTACCAAGACAGCTGGAACGACTAACTGACAACACCTCTTCGGGGTGTCCCTAGCTTTACTACTCTTCACAGAAAATTGTCTAACATCACTATCTCTTTCAATGGATCTGGAGGTTTGCAAATCTGGCGAGTATCTTGCTTAGTCAAAAACTTAATGACAGGTGCCCATATGGGGTTTTGTTTTTGTTCATCTCGACTACTATAGCGCCTAATGCTGGGAAATTTAACTGGATTGCGTGTCGAGAAAATGCATCTGCTACAACATTTTGTTTTCTTGGGATATAGCCAAATGTAGGATTGAATGCTTGAATTGTGAGTAAATATCTGACAAATTTTCCGATAGGATTCTTATTCTTGAACAAAGGAATTAATGATTGATGATCTGTAAGAACATGAACTGAGTAATTGTAAATTGTAACCCTGAAATGTTTAAGAGCCCATACAACTGCAAAACCTTCACGTTCTGTTGCACTATAATTTTTCTCTTCCTCAGACAATGTAAGGCTGGCATAAGTTATCGCGCGATCTCTGTGACCTTCGGTTTGAAGTAATGCAGCACCTAAGCCTACATCACTAGCATCTGTGGCTAAGTAAATGGTTCAGGAAAAATCTGGGTACTTAAGGACAAGTGATGAGATCAATGCT